TTTTTTTTTTTTTTTTTTTGAGACGGAGTCTCGCTGTGTCGCCCAGACTGGAGTGCAGTGGTGCGACCTAAGCTCACTGCAACCTCCGCCTCCCGGGTTCAAGCGATTCTCCTGTCCCAGCCTCCTGAGTAACTGTGATTACAGGCATGCACCACCACACCCAGCTGATTAAGCTCACTGCAACCTCCGCCTCCCGGGTTCAAGCGATTCTCCTGTCCCAGCCTCCTGAGTAGCTGTGATTACAGGCATGCACCACCACACGCAGCTAATTTTTTGTATTTTTATTGGAGATGGGGTTTCACCATGTTGGTCAGGATGGTCCCGATCTCTTTACCTTGTGATCTGCCTGCCATGGCCTCCCAAAGTGCTGGGATTACAGGCATGAGCCACCATGCCCGGCCTGTCTTGGGCTTTAGTACCCACTTTCCACTTAAAAAAATATATGTAGACCAGGCACAGTGGCTCACACATGTAATCCCAGCACTTTGGGAGGTTGAGGTGGGTGGACCACGAGGTCAGGAGATCGAGACCATCTTGGCCAACCTGGTGAAACCCTGTCTCTACTAAAATACAAAGCATTAGCCGTGCATGGTGGTGCACACCTGTAGTCCCAGCTACTCGGGAGGCCGAGGGAGGGGAATCGCTTGGACTCAGGAGGCAGAGGTTGCGGTGAGCTGAGATTGTGCCACTGCACTCCAGCCTGGCAACAGCGAGACTGCATCTCAAAAAAATAAATAAAATAAAATAATATATATATGTATATACAGGTATATATGTATATCTATGTATATGTATGCATATATATGTATATATGTGTGTATATAATATAAACTTTGAGCACAGTGGCTGACACCTGTAATCCCAGCACTTTGGGGGGCCAAGATGGGTGGATCACCTGAGATCAGGAGTTCGAGACCAGCCTGACCAATATGGTGAAACCCCATCTCTACTAAAAATACAAAAATTAGCCAGGTATGGTGGCGTGTGACTGTAGTCCCAGCTACTAGGGAGGCTGAGACAGAATTGCTTGAACCCAGGAGGCAGAGGTTGCAGTGAGCCAAGATGGCGTCATTGCACTCCAGCCTGGGTGACAGAGTGACTCCGTCTCAAAAAAAAAAATTATATATATGTATATATAGAAGATTATGAAATACATACCCAGGGCAGAAAACCTGGGAGCTAAGTGAGAATATAGGCAGGTGAATTCCATCACCCAGGGATGATGGGGCATTTCAGCCTTTGGAGCTTTTCTCCCATGTTAAACAAGCAGCAGTTCCAGGAGCTGAGAATGATGTGCCAGAGATGCTTCATTTTTTTTCCGTCCCCATGCCCTTGGACACTGGGGTGGACTTCAGCTTTTTCCAGTTAAAACACCCGCAGACTGCTGGTAGC